GGAAGGAGGGAAGTAGGGAAGGAGGGAAGGAGGGAATGAGGGAAGGAGGGAAGGAGGGAAGGAGGGAAGGAGGGAAGGAGGGAAGGAGGGAAGGATGGAAGGAAGGAAGGAAGGAAGGAAGGAAGGAAGGAAGGACGGAAGGAAGGAAGGAAGGAAGGAAGGAAGGAATGAAGAAGACGAAGAAGAACAATAATAATAAGACGAAGAAGAAGAAGACTAAGAAGAAGAAGAAGAATAAGCAGAAGAAGAAGAAGAAGAAGAAACAGAAGAAGAATAAGGAGGAGGAGGAGGAGGATGAGGAGGGGGAGGAGGAGGAGGAGGAGGAGGAGGAGGACGAAGAATAAGAAGAAGAATAATAATAAGAAGCATAAGAATAATAATAATAAGAAGAAGAATAATAATAAGAAGAATAAGAAGAATACTAATAAGACGAAGAAGAATAATAAGAATAATAATAATAAGAAGAATAAGAAGAATAATAAAAAGAATAAGAATAATAAGAATACGAAGAAGAATAAGAAGAAGAATAAGAAGAATACTACTAAGAAGAATAATAATGAGAAGAATAATAATAAAAAGAAGAAGAATAATAAGAAGAAGAATAATAAGAAGAAGAATAATAAGAAGAAGAATAATAAGAAGAAGAATAATAAGAATAAGACTCCGAAGACTAATAAGAAGAAGAAGAAACAGAAGACGAAGAAGAAGAATAAGAAGAAGACGAATAATAAGAAAAATAAGAAGAAGAAGAAGAAGAATAAGAAGAAGAAGAAGAATAAGCAGAATAATAAGAAGACGACGACGAAGACGAAGACGAAGACGAAGACGAAGACTAAGACGAAGAAGAATAAGAAAAAGAAGAAGAAGAAGAAGAAACATAATAATAAGAATACGAAGACGAATAAGAATAATAATAATAATAATAAGAAGAAGAAGAATACGAATAATAATAATAAGACGACTAAGAAGACTAATACTAATAAGAAGACGAAGACGAAGACGAAGAAGACGACGAATAAGAATAATACGAATAAGAATAAGAAGGAGAAGAAGCAGAAGAAGCAGAAGAAGAAGAAGAATAATAAGAAGAATAAGAAGAATAATAATAATAAGAAGAAGACGAAGAATAAGAATAATAATAAGAAGAAGAATACGAATAAGAAGAATACTAATAAGAATAAGAAGAAGAAAAATAATAATAATAATAAGAAGAATAAGAAGACTACTAATAATAAGAAGAAGACTAAGAAAGCGAATACGAAGAAGACACATAATAATAAGAAGAATAAGAAGAATAAGAATAATAAGAAGAATAATAATAAGAATAATAATAAGAATAATAATACGAATAAGAAGAAGAAGAAGCAGAAGAAGAGGAGGAGGAGGAGGAGGAGGGGGAGAGGAGGAGGAGGAGTGAGGAGGAGGAGGAGGAGGGTAGGAGGAGGAGGAGGAGGAGGAGGATGAGGAGGAGGAGGAGGAGGGTGAGGAGGAGGAGGGGAGGGGGAGGAGGAGGAGGAGGAGGAGGAGGAGGAGGAGGGAGGAGGAGGAGGAGGAGGAGGAGGAGGAGGAGGAGGAGGAGGAGGATGAGGAGGGGAGGAGGAGGAGGGTGGAGGAGGAGGAGGAGGAGGAGGAGGAGGAGGAGGAGGAGGAGGCGGAGGAGGAGGAGAGGAGTGAGGAGGAGGAGGAGGAGGAGGAGGAGGAGGAGGAGGAGGAGGAGGAGAGGAGGAGGAGGAGGAGGAGGAGGAGGAGGAGGAGGAGGAGGAGGAGGAGGAGGAGGAGGAGGAGGAGGAGGAGGAGGAGGAGGAGGAGGAGGAGGAGGAGGAGGAGGAGGAGGAGGAGGAGGAGGAGGGGAGAGCGGCCCATAACCCACACAGGAGGCCTCTACCGCCTGTGGAGCCAGTGCCGGAAAGGTTTCATCAGTGATTGGGAGGCTGGCCACAGTAAGTTCTGGGATTCGGCAGTGCGTGGTAATTCGTCGCTGCGGGCAGCCATGCTCCGGTTGGTCAAAGCAGAGATTTCTGAGGCCCTCGGAGTATCTTTCGCAGAGCTGTTGTGGGACGCAGAGAAGTTTTTCGACACGTTGTCCCCGGCAGCGATAGCAGCAGCAGGCATATCACTGGAGTATAGCGCACTGTTGTTGTACATGGGCATGCTGGTACACTTGAGCCCGCGAGTAGTTGTATTGGGCTCGGCCTGCAGTGCACCGTTGCTGCCAGATGAAGGGATCCTCGCAGGGTGTGGACAGAGTGTATGTTGGACACGCTTATTTCTTTTCGACATCTTGGAGGATTTTCATGCGCGGTACCGTCCGCAAGCAATAGTTCAGAGTTGGGTGGATGACCTTGCGCACCAGGTTTTGGGCAGTAGGAAGGCAGTGGTTCAGTTGGCCGTGCAGTCGGCTGTTCACCTCACCCACGGTCTCAGGGCGAAGGGAGTGAGGATGTCAGTGAAGTCCCGAATTCTTGCCAACAGTCCTGAGCTAGTCAAGGAGATTCAAAGGAAACTCAAAGAGGCTGGGGTGAGCATCCAGCAGGCTGAGGTTGTTCGGGACTTAGGCGTTGATGCCAGCCTGACACGCCGCCGAACTCAGACAACGCAGGAACGAGTTCAGAAGGGCCGGGTGAGGGCAGCGAGGATCAGGCAACTTCGGGACACGAATGCCGCGGCCAAGGAACTCATTTCGACCGGGTTGCGACCGCAGTTATGCTGGGGACACCAAGCCAAAGGGGTGGCCCCAACCCGGGTGCAAGAACTACGTCGCACATTGATTGGTGCTTCGGGAGTCCAGCGCACTGGGGGGTGCACCAGTACTGCTTTCAGGTTAGCGTGGTCGCATTTTGCCGATCCCACGGTTTTCCTCCGCCTGGAGCTTTTCAAGATGTGGGGGACCGTATTGCCGGCTCTGCAGGAACAGGAGGCAGCAGTGGAGAAAACCTGGGCTTTCTGGAAGGCCAAACTGGAAGCAACGCGCCACCCCTGGAGTCTCGTCATAGGCCCCATCGGAGCCATTATTCAGACTCTAAGGGATTTGGGGTGGCACCCTGAGAGCCTCTACAGATGGAGGGACGATTATGACGGAGAGTACTGCCTCGAAGGGGACACGGTGGATGCGCAGCTGCAGAGAGTGCTTTTCAACGTAGAAGCGTCAGCAGAAGCAGAGGTGTGGAGGAGGGCATCGCAGCACGAGGCAGGAGGAGGGCTTGAGCAGGGTTTTGACTACACCGTGATTAAGGCCCACCTACGCTGTCTTCGTGAGAAGGAACTATATGGTCATGCCGCTGTCTTGGAAATTATTGCCCAAGGAGCTCTATGGCCGAAAGTTCGACGCTTTCCCCAAGGATCGGACGTCGAACAATTATGCCCCCGGTGTCAGGAAGCCCCGGAAACCCTCCTTCACCAGTGCTGGGGCTGTCGGTGCAATCGGGAGGTTGAGGGGTGGGCCCCACGCGGCGATTTTCTAGAGGCGGCGCGGGTGGGTGCAGAAATAACCCCGTGTTTTTGGCTGCGAGGTTTGGTTCCTAGTAGGTGGACTTTCGGGGAAGCGAATGCCCACCCAGCACAGGAAGATCTCCAGAGGACAGGCCGTTTTCAGGACTGCGAGGTCCTCGACCTCAGCCTGATCGATGCCGACCGCACCTTCACAGGGGCGACAGATGCGTCTGGCGGTGAGTTCTCGGAAGATGTACGTCTTCGTCGTGTGGGTATCGGCGGTGTGGTCAGCCAGGAGCGCGATGTCTTGGGGACCTTCTCAGGCGGCCTGGAAGGATGGAAGCAAACCGTACCTCGGGGAGAACTGATGGCACTTGTCCGCAAGGCAGAATGTACAGCTGGGAACTTACTTGTCTATGTGGATTCGAGCTACGTGGTCAAAAGGTTCCTGAAGGGCCCTGCTGCCAGCAACCCGTCGCATGCAGATCTCTGGCGTAGATTGTGGCATAGACTTGCGGTTCGTACGGGGACTTTTGCAGTGAAGAAGGTCAAGTCTCATCAAGCACTGCACGAAGTGGCACCTACAGCTGAATGTCTCCTAGCGCACTGGTTGAATGAAAAGGCGGATGAGGCGGCAGATGAAGGGGCACAGCGAGCACAACTTCCCTTTGCTGTCCAGCATACCGTCCGGTATGCAGACCAGGAGGCGTGGAAGGTGCAAAAGCTGTTGCTACATATAGGCATGCACATCGTAGAGCAGTACACCGAGCTATACGGTAGTGTGTCGCGAGCTGTTCGACTAGCGGAGCGTAGGAAGATCTCCCATGCTGCGGCTCAGACGAAGAATCTGGCCAGACAGCAAACCCAACACCTCCTGAATGCTGGTTCGAAGAGGTGTGGGAATTGCTGGCAGGCCCCTGGCCCAGGCGAGGAAATCGCCTGGTTGAACGGCCCGTGCCCTGGCCGCCCCACGGTTTTTGACCCAACTCACAACCTCCAGCTGCACCGAGGCTTGTGGTTTTGTGGGGATTGCGGAGCGTGGGCAGCGACCAAGGCCCTCAAGCTCGGCACTCTTTGCTTGAAACGTCCCAACAAGGACGGCAGGGAAGTGCTACAGCGAATTCAGGCCGACCGGCTCCCTAAGGGATGCAGTGGTTGGCCAGGCCAGCGAGAGCCAGGCAGGGCTGGAGATTGTCAGCGACATCTGCCAGGCGTGCCTGGCGCGGCAGTAGAGCGGAAGGCGGAGCCTCCTTAGGAACTAAGGAGCTGGCTCATGCGGCGGAAACGGAAAAGGAGGAGGAGGAGGAGGAGGAGGAGGGGGGGCCCAGGGCGCTCAACTGGCCTACGTGCCGGGCATCCTCGAGGCTCTTCCCTCTGTGCCACGCCCGGTCTCGGCCGCTTGCCCGTGCACGGTGTGATGCCGTGTCGATGGCGCCAGCAACTCGGCGGAGAGCGAGGGGGATCGCGAGAAGGAGAAGGTCTTCTCCCCTGAGATCCTGGCGTGCGTTGTGATTTTTTCACACCGGGCGGTTTCGCTCATTTTCGGGGCCCGGGGCCCTCGCAAGCCGATATGGCTCGAAAGATGCTGCAGAATGGTGGGGTCTGGGGCTCCGGTCGCGATTTCTGCGATGTTGCAGTTTTTTTGCAGCGTCGGATCTCAGGGGCAGAAGGCTGAAAAGTTTTCTGTGCCTTCGGGGGAGGCCCAGAATACGCCTCCGAGGGCGCGAGGGCTTCTGAGAAGCCCCGCCGCCTTCTGAGGAGGGCCTCTCCCTTCTCACTTCCCCCCCTCGCTCGCCGCCAAGGCTTGGCGAGTCGCCAGTGCCCAATAAGAGGCTTCTGACACTGTGCTGTTCCGTACCGCGCGTGGCCGCTGGGCGCCATCTCCCGGGCCTCTCCAGGGGTCGTCCTGGAGCGGCATGCCGATCCCCGCCGTCCTGTGCCTTCTGAGCAGTCCGCCTTACGAGGCCCAGGGCTTCCGTAGACTCCTGCGGCCACTCCTCTGGCCCCCAGCGGCTGCGGCTCCCAGTCTGGTGGACTGTTGATTACCGCCGTGGGGAGAGCGCCGGGCCGATTCGTGGGCGTGGTTGACGTCGAGGCAAGAAGACAGCTTCGACTCGGTGGCCTTCCGCCGATGAGGCGAGCCCATCGTTCGGTCAGGTGGGCTTGGCTGGCGTCCAGATGAGAGCAAGACTTTGAGCCAGGAGCGTGCGGGAATGCCAGCGTATCAGCACGAGTGAGGACTCTACCGCTTCGCCCATAGCGCCACACCGAGTCATGGGGATAGCCAGCGATCAGGCGGGAGCACCTCTGAGTCCGGTTCTGAAGAGGAGAGCGCAATTCGGATTCAGAAAAGGTGGCAAGCAGTAGTTCGAGAGCATTGCTTTCAGTCGTGAGTGTGGCCAGCGCTCAGGCGTGAGCTCCGTTCCCTGTCGGGAAGGTGGCTGGCGCCTAGGCGGTGTTACATTCCGAATCAGGGGCGCCCATCGTGTATTTTTAACATGGTGAGGACGGGGTGGGAACTGGCGGCGACATTTCGGGAACCAGAATAACTCTGGAAAACATGAAGACCCCGTGTGTTGTCTGTAGAAGTAACGTGCACGCAGAAATCCGGTTCCGGTACGTGCGAGTGCATGCTGCGGCCCTTCCCAGACCCCCGATGCCATGTTTTTTGCGCAACGTCGACCCCCGGAGGTCTCGACCCTTCCATTTCCATTTCCTCCTCCTCCTCCTCCTCCTCCTCCTCCTCCCCCCTCCTCCCTGCTCTCCCTCCTCCTCCTCCTCCTCCTCCTCCTCGTCCTCCTCCTTCCCCTTCTCCCTGCTCCTCCTCCTCCTCCTCCTCCTCCTGCTCCTCCTCCTCCTCCCCCCCAGGCCCCTGACGTCATGCTTTCTTCATGACGTTGACCCCCTGAGGTCTCGACCAATATTCCCCGGGACCGGTTTGCCATCCCGCGTTGTTCGGTGACGCTCCCGGGGCCTGGTGAGGGCCCTTGGAGGCCGCTGATGGCGACAAACCTCCCGTCGTGATACTTTATTAGTGAATTTAATTGGTTTTAGGGTTTTAACAAATGGTCGCAGCCACGCGGAGGGCGTGCGTAGCGACGCCCCAAATGCTCGGTCTCCAGTACTTCTACGTGGCGGCGCCCCCGCAGGCACGCAGAGGGCACGCGTGGCGACGGGGCGTCGTCACGCAGAGCTTCTGAAGACCAAACATTTTGAAAACTAATTGTTTCCACTACTAAAGTAGTGCCCTGACCCGAGGGGCCCTGGGCACGACGAAGCGCTGCTCCCCCCCTCTCGCGGCGCGCAGGCCCTCGGCGCCGCCCCCCCCGCGCCGCCCCCGGAGGCGCTCGGTGCTCGGGAGCTTCGCGGGCCGGGGGGGCGCGGGCTCGTCGGCCGTGCAGGAGCGCACACCCTGGCCCAACGCTTAAGTCGGGCCTGTCCCCCTACAGGGGGATTTTCGACGAAAAATAAAACATACCCCCAAAACACACCAAAAAAGGTCAACACAAGTACTCAAAAGAATAGTCCCCGGACTATGTTTGGACTGTTCTTTGATTATTTTGGGGGTATCTTTTATTCTTCGTCGAAAATCCCCCCTGTAGGGGGGACAGGCCCGACTTAGCCCAACGCGCGCGCGCTCGTGCGCAGGGGCGGCCACGCGATGGGCTGCAGTCGGGCATGTCCCTTTACAGGAGGAGGATTCGAACAATCGCCAAAAATCAATATCCATGGGACGAGGTTCAGACTTTTTCCACGAAGAAGGCCTACTTTTGTCTGCTCTTCCAAACTCCGCCTGTTGGAGGACACGCCCGACCTTCAGAGGGCAGTTCTCGAACGTGTTCGGCAGTTTGTGGGAAGGCCTCGAAGCCCGGGGTGGTTTCCATCAGCTGCGCCTCGTCGAGAACGTTCCCAGGGTGACAGAATCGCCCCGGAAAAGCCGCCGGGCTGCTGAGCGATGGCCCCCCAGACCAGGGGCCACCATCCGTGCTTCCTGCAACGGCTCGCCATAAAGCGGGGCCCCGAGGGAAAAACAGGCCCCTGGATATCTCGCCGATTTCGGCTTCTCGGGGGCCTTCCAGGGCCCCAGAGGACGGTCGTAGAGCGACGCAGGGAAGCAAGAGCTGGTCTTGGGGGAGGGCCCGCCGGGGAGTCCAGGATCTCTGCTTCTCTCGGGCCCGTTCCCGGCCTGCCAGAAGGGCTCATCCTGCCATCTCTTTCTAGGGTCAAATCGGGCATGCCCCTTCCCTCTACAGGAGTAGTATTGAATCGTCAAGAGCTAGTCTGGGGACATTTTTTCCCAACCATCCTGTGGTGTTGGGTCCTCGTTTTGAAGAGACGGTGCCCCGCGTCTCCTCTCCTCTCCTCCTCCTCCTCCTCCCCCCTCCTCCCTCCTCCCGTCATCATCATCATCGTCATCATCGTCATCACCATCATCGTCGTCATCGTCATCGTCATCGTCGTCGTCGTCATCATCGTTATCATCGTCATCATCACCATCATCGCCATCATCATCGCCGTTATCGCCACCATCATCATCATCGTCATCCTCATCATCATCATCAGCATCATCATCATAATCATCATCATCATAATCATCATCATCCTCCGCATCATCACCATCACCCTCACCATTACCATTATCATCATCATCATCATCATCATCATCATCATCATCATCATCATCATCATCATCATCATCATCATCATCATCATCATCATCATGCTTCCCCTGTACCCATTTCGGCACACCCCTCACACGTTTCGTGGCCCCAAAGGGAGCTCCACCGAAGGCCCCAGTGGCTGCGCTCGCATGCGGTTCCAACCCCCCATTCGGCACACCCCTCACACGTTTCGTGGCCCCACAGGGAGCTCCACCGAACGCCCCAGTGGCTGCGCTCGCATGCGGTTCCACCCCCATTTCGGCACACCCCTCACACGTTTCGTGGCCCCATAGGGAGCTCCACCGAAGGCCCCAGTGGCTGCGCTCGCATGCGGTTCCACCCCCCCATTTCGGCACACCCCTCACTCGTTCGTGGCCCCATAGGGAGCTCCACCGAAGGCCCCAGCGTCTGCGCTCGCATGCGGTTCCACCCCCTTTTCGGCACACCCCTCACACGTTTCGTGGCCCCATAGGGAGCTCCACCGAACGCCCCACCGAAGGCCCCAGTGGCTGCGCCGCATGCGGTTCCACCCCCCTTTTTCGGCACGCCCCTCACACGTTTCGTGGCCCCATAGGGAGCTCCACCGAAGGCCCCAGTGGCTGCGCCCGCATGCGGTTCCACCCCCCATTCGGCACACCCCTCACACGTTTCGTGGCCCCATAGGGAGCTCCACCGAAGGCCCCAGTGGCTGCGCCCGCATGCGGTTCCACCCCCCATTCTCGGCACACCCCTCACACGTTTCGTGGCCCCATAGGGAGCTCCACCGAAGGCCCCAGTGGCTGCGCCCGCATGCGGTTCCACCCCCCCATTCTGGCACACCCCTCACACGTTTCGTGGCCCCATAGGGAGCTCCACCGAAGGCCCCAGTGGCTGCGCCCGCATGCGTTCCACCCCCATTTCGGCACACCCCTCACACGTTTCGTGGCCCCACAGGGAGCTCCACCGAACGCCCCAGTGGCTGCGCCGCATGCGGTTCCACCCCCCATTCTGGCACACCCCTCACACGTTTCGTGGCCCCATAGGGAGCTCCACCGAAGGCCCCAGTGGCTGCGCCCGCATGCGGTTCCACCCCCCATTCTGGCACACCCCTCACACGTTTCGTAGGGGCTCCACCGAAGGCCCCAGTGGCTGCGCCCGCATGCGGTTCCACCCCTCATTCTGGCACACCCCTCACACGTTTCGTGGCCCCGCTGGCCCCATAGGGAGCTCCACCGAGTGGCCCCAGTGGCTGCGCTCGCATGCGGTTCCACCCCCCATTTCGGCACACCCCTCACACGTTTCGTGGCCCCACAGGGAGCTCCACCGAACGCCCCAGTGGCTGCGCTCGCATGCGGTTCCACCCCACATTTCGGCACACCCCTCACACGTTTCGTGGCCCCATAGGGAGCGCCACCGAGGAATATATCCACACTTGCAGTATTCACAACTACGTATGGTTGGGTTTTTCGTCAGGCTAATTTTGTATTCTGGATATTTTGTGACTATCGTTTGACAATTGTTATTTTTCGTCCAAAATCCGCCTGTAGGAGGACACGCCCGACCTGATTCTGGGGATGTTGCGCATCTCTCCCGCCCTCCCCTCGCCCATCCGAGTGGCACAGTCGGGAATGCTCCGCCCCGTCCCGCAGAACGCGGTTCGGCGATGCCGTACGGAGCGCGCGTGGCGTGGCCGTGCATGTGGCATTGTCGCCGAGTTGCCATTCTTCGGAGCTTCTTGGACGTTCGCGGGGGCCACTGACCCGAGGGAGTCTCTTGGCGGCCTCTTGGGGCCCCCTCGGGTCGGGGATCCCTTGACGGCTTTTGGGGGGCGTCTTTTCGGGCTTGTTTGGTGACTTAGGACTTAGGTGTTCTTCGGAGGGGTAAGCGGACGTTGGAAGTGTGATACTACGGACTGTTCATGCCCGTTCTCTTCGAGCTGGTGTTCTTTGGGGCGATTCTTGAGAGGCATCTTGGGGCCCTCTTTGGGAGCTCATCGTGCCGTCCAAGGGCCTGTCGGAGCTACGTCGGATCTCTTTTGGAGTCCCCTTGAGCGTGCCGTTTTGTCCTTCCTCGTTGCGTTGGGGCAGTAATGGGGGGGCCTCAGATACTCATCCGAGGTCGAGAAAAGGAGAACGATCATATCGGTGAACAACACATCGGTTCTCAGATTGGTTCTCGGCGGCCTCGGTGCAGCATCACGCGCCCCACAGATCTGTGCATCTGCAGCACGTGTCCTGCAGATCAGCCGGTCATCAGTGCGTGATTTGCGCAGCGGACTAGGTTTTCGGAAAGGTGCCATCCACTGGCCTGCTGCCCATCCCTCGAAGAGGAAAACACATACATACACGTAACCATTCGGAGCACCGCGCGGATTTCTTAGATTTGCGCTGGACCCCCAGGCGGCGCCTCGGGCGCCGCCGACGCTTTTGATTGGGGTTCGCTTTGTCGAGCCTGCACTGGGATTCAGCATATCCCTTTTCAAGTCGCAAAAGCCGACCGTGAATTGTGGACCCTCGCTGCTTTCCTCTGTTTGTACTCTATCGGGCACGCACTCAGCCTTTTTGTTCTTTCGATGTTCTTGAGGGGTTTGCTTCGCGTTCCGACCGCGCTGCCGTCACCCTTGTACTGCCTTGGCCGCTCGAAGTGATGTGCAAATACGTGACGACTTGCAAGCGCAATCCTATAACGTTCAGGGTGTTCACAGGTGGCTCGAGCGCACGACGCTTGGGTTACCGCAGAAGATGAGCTTGATTGCGGAGTCCTTCATGCACCCGCTTTCACAATCGAGGACAACTCATTCCCCAAACAGCTTGCTGAACGGGGTGCTGTTGTGGTAGAAACTAACTCCGGCCGAGGGAAGTCGGAGCAGAGACATCCTCACAAAAACTTGATGGTCCGGGCCGTTTCGCTTGAGACATCATCCTCACAACTCTAGTTTCTGAGTTGGCCGGGATTGGCCGTTTCGCCTGAGACATCTTCGAAAAGTTGCGCTCCGGGACGCCGCGCGAGAGGTGGTCCGGGCCGTTTCGCTTGAGACATCTTCGAAACTCTGAGCCCCGAGGTGCCGTGCGAGAGGTGGTCCGGGCCGTTTCGCCTGAGACATCCTCGAAACTCTGAGCTCTGAGATGCCCTGCGCGAGGTGGTCCGGCCCGTTTCGCCTGAGACATCCTCGAACTCTGACCTCGGAGATGCCGCGCGAGAGTTGGTCCGGCCCGTTTCGCCTGAGACATCCTCGAACTTCTGAGCTCTGAGATGCACTGCGCGAGGTGGTCCGGCCCGTCTCGCCTGAGACATCCTCGCAACTCTGAGCTCTGAGATGCTGGGCAAGGTGGTCTGGCCTGTTTCGCACAAGACATTCTCGCAACTCTGAGCTGCCAGATGCCGCGCAAGAGGTGGTCCAGCCTGGGGGCCCAGGAGACCACATGTTACATATCCTCCCTGGGACCCTGGGAGCCCGCCTCAGACATCCTCGAACTTCTGAGCTCTGAGATGCCCTGCGCGAGGTGGTCCGGCCCGTCTCGTCTGAGACATCCTCGCAACTCTGAGCTCTGAGATGCCGTGCGCAAGGTGGTCCGGCCTGTTTCGCAGAAGACATTCTCGCAACTCTGAGCTCCCAGATGCCGCGCAAGAGGTGGTCCAGCCTGGGGGCCCAGAAAACCACTTGTTACATATCCTCCCTGGGAGCCCCAGGAGGCCCAAGGGAGCTCCAGGAGGCCGCAGGACGCCCAGGACAGGCCCCAGGGGTCCCCAGGAGATTCCCAGGAGGTTCCCAGGAGGCCCCAGGAGGCCCCCTATCAGAACGTGTCAAGTTACTACACATCCGGTGTCGATTCGTTGATTCTTCCTGCTCTTGTGCCCCCCCCCTCCATTTTGAGAGGCCCAGGCGGCCACAGGTTAGATATCCCCCCTGGGAGCCCCAAGAGGCTTCAGGAAACCCCAGGTGGAGTTCAGGAGGCCACAGGAGGCCCAGGACGAAGCCCCAGGAGGTCCCCAGGAGGCGCCAGGAGGCACTAGGAGGCCCCCGCAACTCGGACCTCTGAGACGCCGCGCTCGAGGTGGTCCGGCCCGTTTCGCCTGAGACTTCCTCGCAGCACGTTTCGCCCGAGACACCGGCCCGTCTCGCCTGAGACATCCTTGCAACTCTGAGCTCTGAGATGCCGTGCGCAAGTTAGTCCGGCCCATTTCGCACAAGACATTCTCGCAACTCTGAGCTCCCAGATGCCGCGCAAGAGGTTGTCCAGCCTGGGGGCCCAGAAGACCACATGTTACATATCCTCCCTGGGACCCTGGGAGCCCCAGGAGGCCCCAGAGAGCTTCAGGAAGCCGCAGGACGCCCAGGACAGGCCCCAGGGGTCCGCAGGAGATTCCCAGGAGGCTCCCAGGAGGCCCCAGGAGGCCCCCTATCAGAACGTGTCAAATTCGGTGTCGATTCGTTGATTTTTCCTGCTCTTGTGCCCCCCCCCGCCCCATTTTGGGGGGCCCCGACGGCCACATGTTAGATATCCCCCCCTGGGAGCCCTAAGAAGAGCCTTCAGGAAACCCCAGGTGGGGTCCAGGAGGCCACAGGAGGCCCAGGAGGAAGCCCCAGGAGGTCACCAGGAGGCCCCAGGAGGCCCCAGGAGGCCCCCGCAACTCGGAGCTCTGAGACGCCGCGCTCGAGGTGGTCCGGCCCGTTTCGCCTGAGACTTCCTCGCAGCACGTTTCGCCCGAGACATCGTCGCATCTTTGGGGTCCGAGATGCCGCGCGCGAGGTGGTCCAGCCCGTCACGTTGGAGACATTCTCGCAACTCTGGGCTCCGAGATGCCGTTCGGGATGAAGAGGAGGTGGAGGAGGAGGAGGAGGAGGAGGAGGAGGAGGAGGAGGAGGAGGAGGAGGGAGGAGGAGGAGGAGGAGCAGGAGGAGGAGGAGGAGGAAGAGGAGGCATGTTTTAACATGCCATGCCAGCCCGCACTGGACGGGCACGCAATCGACCTTGGAAACCGCAGTGGGTCTAAAAATCCTGTTTTGGGATACAGCACTCCGGCTATAATAACGTGTTGTTTTTGTTCTCTAGTCCTACATCCGATTATATTTCGAGTGCCGCAAGCAGGTGCTCGTTGTTGGGAGCGAATGGATGTTAAATCGCCACAGGCCAGCCCTGAGTAGACTTCGAAGGACGGTTGCCCCAGCCCCTCCTCCGCGCCTCTCTCCCCTTCTGTCTCTCTCTCTCTCCCTCCGGTCGGTGGCAGCCTGCCGAGGGTGCCCGGGCCCCAGGACCACTCCGGGAGGCTCTCGTGCTTGGCGTCCGTGCCGGGAGTTCTGCCTGGAGTTCTTCCCGAGCCCGTCAACGACGTCAACATGTCCTCGGCTGGGGGAGGGAGCAGCATGAAGCGGAGGAGGAGGGTGCAGCATCTCAGGCCGAGGGTGTAGCAGTACGCTCATGCAGAGGTGTACGTTTCCATTCTCGGATGCTTTCACGGCGCGTATAGCTGCACATGGTTATTTTCACAAGTTGATGCTGCGTCCCACGGCGACGTTGCCGCACTTGATGGGCTATCGTGGCCATCTCGCTCAAGCCTCGAGCGACTTCCGCCCGGATGTTCGCTGCCCTTTCCGCCGCGGCTGGCGCCCTCCTACCAGAGCTGGGCCGCGGGCTGAGCACGGGGCTGCTGGTGTACACGGCCAACCAGGGGCAGGCCCAGTGCCCGCCGTGCTCCTGCTCCCCGCAGCTCCACTGCCCGGAGTTGTGATGCGATTGCTCGGGCCTCCAGGGCACGAGCAGCCAGGGGCCGAGCCTCTGGTCGGTGGCGCTGGCCTGCGCCGCTGGCGGGCTCGCTGGAGCCGGCGCCGCCGCAGTGGCTTGCCGGCGCCTGGCGGGCGGGCGGATGGCGGTCGCACGCGGCGCGGCGCCGCGGCTTGTGGCTGAGCCGAACTTCGAGGAGGAGGAGGCTCGGGCTCAGGCGCGTGAGGCCCGCACGAAGGCCTTGCAGCTGTGATGGCGGCCGCTGGGCCGCCGGCCTATCCCTCCGTGGCCGCGGCCGGCGTGGCGCCTGGGGATTTTCTCGGGGTGCACTACCACGTCAGGGGGGCGGTGCTGATCCACGAGAGGCTGGTCGTGCTGGTGCCGTCTGGTCAGCCAGGCGCCGCTAGCATCGTCACTCCCGACGGCGACGAGTACGACGAGGTGTACGCGGGCTCGCCCGACGTCGTGAGGTGGGACATTTTCCCAGGCGGCGCGGCGGGTGGCACCATGCCGTGGGCGCCAGGAACGCGGTATTACAAGTTCCGCAGCTTGCCGACGCCAGCCACGCTGCTGGCGGCTGCTGCGGCCGCGGCTGGCCGATTCGGCCTCCCTGCCCCCGCTGGTCCCATCGTGCCGAACGCGGCTGGCAGGGCGCTGGCGGCTGCGCCAGCGGCAGCTCGTGGCGGGCTTGCGCCTCCCGCGGCAGGCGTTGCTGCTGCGCCGGCGGCGGCCGTGGCTGGGCCGGAGGCGGCGCTCGGCGGCCCTGCGCTGGCGCCCGGAGCCCCCGTGCCCCTGCCACCTGCCGCGCCGGCCGCGCCTGGCGGCGCGCTGGCTGCGGCCCCAGCGCCCGCGCCCGCGCCCGCCCCCGCCGCGCCGCTGCCCGTGGCGCCTGCGGCTGGTGCCCCAGTGGGCCTTGTGGCGGACTCGCGCGTGCAGCCAGTGCTGTGCAACCCGTTGGGCTCCAGGAAGGTCGGCTTCGGGGAGGCGGTGACGCGGCTGGTGGAGCACCAGTGGCCTGACTGGCCCATAGCGGGCCCCCGCTCCACGATGTGGGCCTGCCAGCTCACCGAGGACAACGGCCTCCCCACCCTCGGGCGCCACAGCAAGGGGCGCTCGGAGGGCCGCCTCGCTCAGACCGACGCGGGCGTCGCGGGGCACGAACGCTGCCGCTTCTACCTGGAGCAGATGGTCTGCTTCGACCAGCTCAACGTTCCAGACGTCGCGGCGGCGGAGATGATCTGCCGCAGCATACAAGTACAGGAGGAGAGGTGGCGGGAGAGTCTCACCGCGAACGCCGACGAGCCGCTGGACTCACACCTCGTCTACGGCACCTCGGCCAACCGAGGCAACGCGTGCGTGCGTCCCCAGCTCCTGGCCAACGTCAGCCGCGAGCTTGCCAGAGATAATGTTGCGGCAAAAGAGAGGCGCGAGGCGCGTGAAGGGCGCCGGAACGCCCGGGCTCCCAATAATAAGGACAAGAAGGGCGGCGAGGACAAGGATACGGACGACACAAAAAGGGGTGGATGGGGGCCCGCAGCGGGACGCGGGGCCACCCGCTGCGGCAGAGCTCGAGCACCGGGCTTTTTTTCGCGGCGACCCTGCCGCCACTGGCGACCCCCGTCGCTGGGGTCTTTTTCCATTGCCTCGCGTGGCTCGCCGTGCTGTGCGCGCGGCCGACTGCCGCCCCTGCCGAGCCGTGCGCCATCGGCATCGCCGCGTTGATGTGCTTCTGGGCTGGGCCGACGAGGGGATAGACGCGCTCAACAGCCAGTGCGGCCACTCTGGGGAACCTTCGGCGCCTGACAACCTGGAGCAGCAGACCAGCATCGAGTTCTCGGAGGACTGCTACCATGGCGTGGGCGCGATGGCGAGCGACCCAGGTTGTTTGTGAAGAAGCCCTTCGACAGCTTTCCAGCGGCTCCACCGTCTACTCCGACGACGGCGTCGCCCGGGCCCTGTGCTCCAAGGAGCTGGTCTCCTGGCCCGAGGCGGGGTCCTGCCCGGCCGACCCTCTGGGCTGCCTCGCCCAGGATGACGCCGATTGGGCGCGGGACTGGCGACGTAACTTGCTCAAGACGCTCGACGAGGCGCTGCTCGGAGCCCAACATTCATGCCCCCGCGGGCCCTTCGCTGACCCTCGGTTGGCTCGGGATCCAGTTTTGTGTGGCGAGTTCGTTCGGCGTCTCCATCAGCGTGGGATGCTGTGTTTCAAGGTGGCCCCCACTTCCATGCGCATGATTGGTGTCTTTTTCGTTCGGGAGAAGTCTTGGAAGCGGCGCGTCGTCTCCGACGCGCGCTACGGGGGCGTCTTCTTTCGCCCGGCGCCCTCCACTCGCTTGCCGACGGCGGCCGCGGTCTCGTCTCGGAGTCGGGCGACATGCGCGTGGCGAGCGGGGACCTGGATAATGCCATCTACCGTCTGAGGCCCATGTCGGGCCTGGAGGACTAATTCGCCCCTGCCGACACTGTCGTCCACCCTGGCTAGTGTCGCCGAGCTGGGCGGCAGGCCCGTCCCCGCCGGCGCGAACCTGGCTTCGTGCCTGGCCATGCTGCCCATGGGGTGGTCGTGGGCGATGCATTTCTGCCAGGCCGGCACCATGCGGGCGATAGCAGTGGCAGGGTTGTCGGGCGCCCAGATCGTCGAGGACGGCCGCGCGAGCGTGGTCCTGCTGGCCTCCTCTGCCACTGCCGTCGCGGGCTACGTCGACAACTTCTACGTCTTCGGCCGCGACCCGGCGCTGGTCACGCGACGCCGCGATGACGTGTCCGCTGTGCTGCCGGGCTGGGGGCTCACGGTTCACGAGGAGTTAGAGGCCTCCAACGATGCCGTCTTGGTGGGGCTCGAGCTCAGGCAGGGCCGCTGGCTGTCGATCAAGCGACGCAACCTGCGGCGGCTCGAGGCGGCGTTGGACGCGGTGCTGCGCCGCGGCCGCTGTTCGAGCGAGATGCTGGAGGTCCTGATAGGCCACGTGACTTTGGGCCTGCCTGATTCGGCGCGAGCTGTTGTGCGTGCTGAGGGCCGCGTGCCCGTGCGTGGGCGCCGGCCTACCCGCCGCCGCGCGAATCTGGCCTTCGGTGCGCCAGGTGTTGAGGCTGGTGCGCCCGCTGTTGCCCCTCCTTCAGAAGGGCTTGAGCAGCCCCTGGCATAATGTCGTCGGGGTGAGCGACGCCTCTGAGTTTGGAGTCGGCGTCGCCGCGCGGGTCGCGCAGCCGGGCGTCGCGGCGCAGCGCGGCCGTCAGTGCGAGAGGTGGCGGCATCGCGTGGCGGGCGCGGAAAGAAGCCAGACAGAGAGCCCTCCTGCCCCCGCCTCTGCCATCTTCCACATCCAATGCAGCTCTGCTGCCCGCGGGCCTGCGCGGCCTTGTCGTCGAGGGGCTCGAGTCGGTCATCGGGGTGCGCCCGGGGGAGTTCATGGAGGTCCCCCGGGAGGGGCCCGGCTGGGCATCGGTCATCGCGTCGCGGGTTATCTTGACGCCGTCTTGGCCTTGGATGGGGGGCGCGTGCGCCCGGGGGGTCGAGCGCGTCCTGAGGTCCACAGCCGCTTTCGGGAAGCATATCGTGATTCATTTACAGCGTGCACTGAAGAAGCTCTGCTGTATGGCACTTTGTTCTAATTATATTTTTCACAGCCGCTGGGCGCGCGGCGAGTTCATTCAACCCCGCTGACTCCCTGTCTCGTGGCCGTCTTGGCTGGTTCACAGGGCCCTATCGGCGCCCGCCAGCCTCGCCCTCGGTCGCTGGGGCGGGTGCCGATGGCGGGGGCCTCGGCCTCCCGTCGCAAGGCCGATCGCCGACAGATGACCGCCGCGGCGCGCCGGGTGGCGGCGGCGCGGGGGGCCTCGGGCGGCCTGTCGGCGTTTGGGCGGACAGCGGTCAGGCCGGGCACGGAGCGCCTCTATCAGGTGTACCTCTGGGCCTTCCTCCAGTTCTGCCTCGTGACGTCGACCGACTGGGCGGGCGAGGCGGGGATGGGCGTGGCCTTAGTGAACTACCTGAACTCGCTATGCCTCGAGGGCTGGGCACCCGGCGAGGGCGCGGCGCTGCTGGCGGCGCTGGCGCACTACGCGCCGGCCCTGTGCAGGAGGGCGGCTCAGGCGCCGCCGCGGGCCACGCGGTGCGTGGTGGGCTGGCGCCGGCGGGCGCCCGCGCGGACGCGGCTGCCGCTTTCTGGGCGTCGCGCGTGGGGCTGCCGAGGATCGCGTCGATTCCACCTTCGAGTCTGTGGTCCGAGGCTGGCTGCTGGGCAAAAGCCGCGGTCGGCGCGTGGCTCGGCACTCCGCGCGCGCCCTGGTCGCAGGCGCTGAGGGGCGATCCTTGCTTTTTTCCGATGGGCAAGCCTGGCCTATCAGGGGCCCGCTTGCCTGCAACCGCTCAAGGGAGTCGGCGGAGAGTCTCGCGAATACCTCCAAGGACCAGGTCTGAGGGCGCCGCTTGTCGAGGCGCATCCGTGCTCCCGCCTCTGGCCGTTGTTCGGTGCAGTCCTGTCCTAGTTCTCACCGCGTGTGCGGGCGTTCAGGTTGTTTGATCCACGTCGCAATCTGATGGGTTTTGAAGGGGTCCCAGAGGGGCTCTCGCGGATTCCTGCAACCGCTCCTTCCAGTCTTGCTGCCGGCTCA